TGATCCTATTTCATCAGCTTCTGGCTTAAAAAGTTTTACTGGTCCTATTTTGAAAGTGAGGATGGAACTGTAATGACTGGAAGCAGAATAATTCTTTTGTAACTTTTGGAGGGGTTTCCCACTATGGTCTTAAACAGACACACACATTTAAATTCCAAGCATCATCTTAAAGTCTACCAGCAGAACTACTTAAATTGGAAAAGTGGTGTTATGAAGAAGAAATGTCCATGGTATATTATAAAAGCTATATACTTCCAATTTTAGTATCAACAACCCAATATATACAAGAAAGGAATTACTATAGCTCTACCATGACCCATTTACTTCTTTCCCAGGAGTGGGGGTGGGAGGGGTGGTAGAAGGCAGGCAGCACCTAAAACTGTTTGTTTTAATAACTATTCAGATATTTTCTTTTCCTAAGATAAGGTCTTACAGGGCAGCCCAGGCCAGCTTTGGATTCCCGAGCTTTCTGCTTTAGCCTATGAACACTGGGATTACAGGCATGTATTACATGCCCAGTCCAAATGTTTTAGGGAGTGGGAGTAGGTGAGGGGCAGTTTCTCTATATAGACCAGACAGGCCTAAAACTCAAGAAATCTGTTTGTTTCTGCCTCCCAAGTGTTGGGATTAAAAGAAACACCACACCTGGTTCTAGCCTACCTTTTATAACTATCAAAAATAAAATATACTGAGTCCTAAATCAGGATGAATGATACATTCCTATAATCCCAACACTTGAAAGGTGAGAAGATTGGGAAGGAGTTCCAAAGGTAGTTTACCTGTAATAGTGACTAGGTAACTTTTTCAACTGTTTTCTCTCTGCTTTTTCAAATCTTACTGATTTTGATCATAACTCAACAGATTCTTTTTGAATGTCATCAAATGGCCACTAAGAGTCCAAACTTCCATGTTCTATTACTGTCTCAGCACACAGCCACAACATGGAAGGAAAACAACCAAAAACAAAAAAAAAACTATTAAAACCAGTCCAAAACTGTAAGTCTAGTATACACAGGCCTTCAGAGGTTCCTCAACCTTGACAATACTGCTATTCTAAATAGAATAATTCTGTTGTGTGTATAGGGGTTGTCTTGTGTATTTAGAAATGTTTGTGGCATCTCTGACTTATACCAAATTGATTATCTATAGCATTTGCTTACCACGTTCTTCTGTCCAGTATGACAACAAGCAACAGTATCTCTAGACGTTGCCAAATGGAGGATGGGGAGCTTGACACAGACACATTGTTGGTTGAGACCACTGGGCTAGTCTAATTACCCCACTCAGTAGATGACATAACCCAAAACCATAAAGTGTGTGACTTTCTCAGGGTCATACACTTGTAGAAAAACTAGCAATAAAACCTATTCTTGGTGAAGACTATCTCACTAGTCTCATTTTTACCACCTATGAGTAGTACAGAGGTTATAGCTAAATAGATTATCACTTAGTCTTTTGCACATATTAGAATCATTGAAAAGAAAGTAGATGAGAAAACTGGCAGAAAAGTTGGTCTTGTTTTTCCATGAAGAACTGATTCTAAATCATCCTGTGATCTGACTTTAGAACTAAAGAGAACTTCAGTGTTGACATACTTCGTGATAGGCAGTAAGTTTTAAAGGCAAAAATTAGAAAAATAATAATTTAGGTTGAGCGCTGGTGGTACACACTTTTAATACCAGAACTCAGGAGGCAGAGGCAGGTGGGTCTCTGGGAGATGCAGGTCAGCCAGAGCTGTTACACAGGGAACACTGGCTTGAAAAAGCAAAAATTAATAAATGTTCAGACTTTAAAAAAAAAAGAAAAAATCTCAGGACTGAAGATACTTATTTTATTGTAACAAATTTCCAGCATCATCACCACTGACTAGAAGTGTTCATGAAAATGTTTTAAGGATAATACTATTGTACTGCTGTGCTATTTCTCCAAAGTGAAATGTGTAAAAAAAAAAAAGAAAGGACATGAAATAGATATCATGAAAAAAATTACTTTTAGCGTTATGTTTATGGAAATTCTAGAATGCAATCTAAATTATACTACAAATATTCTGACTTCTATTATCTTTCATGCTGAAGATAAGGAACAATATAAGGCAAACACATCAAGTACTAAAAATGTTTGTTTCCGGGTGTTTTACTGAAATGCAGTGGGGATCATGTGCCATGATATAAAATTATTTCCAAAACTGCTTTAAAGAATTATTTCATAGGTGTAGGCTTTCTGAAGGTGTGTAGTACCCACAAGACCCCACAGATTTCTACTGAGATAGTCAACAGCTTTTTGTATTTTGGTAAATGTGTTGGTGAGACTACCAAACTCTCCAAACCTCCATCCATATAAAGTGACTTAACCACACTTTAACATGGTCCCTAGCGGCCCACAAGTCCCCAGCCCCACATTAAGGAAAAGCTCTGGCTGTCAAGTTTTCTGTTTATTTTAGCCCTCACTTGATGACAGGTCTCTGGACTCTGGGTTTGTGATGCTCAGGGCCTCAGGCATGTTAGACAGGTGTTCTACCCACAGCAGGGATCACCCTTTTATTTACTTTAAAATGTTACCCCCCCCTTTTTCCTTAAGTAGTGTCTCACTGTGTAGTTCTGGCTGAGCAGGAACTCTCTTATGTAGACCAGGATAGTTGGTCTTTGCCTCTCCAGGGCTGGGGATTAAAGTCGGGCAGCACCATACCCAACAAAGGCTCTGTCCTGTCAGCTTATTTCCCACAGCTCAGCAGGGTCTTCCAAAGACTATAAAATCATTTCTTTGAAATGCAATCAGGATGGCAGAGGTGCCTTCCCAGTCTCTGTGGGAGGACAGGCGCCTAACTTCCATAATTCCCAGGTGGCAGAAGCAATGACTAACCCTTTGCAATTTTTCACCTCTCCAGTCTACTTCAGCTCGGTCTTCTCTTACACATTTTTTTTTTTTTAAGGCCCGTGTCATCCCCGAGCATTTCAGGACACAGCTCAGCTTGGCCGCTAGTCAGTGGGTATGGGATAAAATATCGCTTCTCACCGCTCTCACAGGGGCAGCACATCCTAAAACTCGAAACTCCTAAAACTCGTCAATGTAGGTTTGTGCGGTTTTTTAAAAACTCGTCTTCCGGGGGTCTCCAGAAGCCTAGAAAAGTTTCAGGGTGACCCCCCTCCCACCTCACCTCTCCACTTCCTCGAGCAAACGTTCAGCTCGGCAGCAGCTCCCACGCTACTATTTTCCAGAACCTTCCTAATTGCCTACCACCTGTCCCTACGTGGCCCGCCGTGAAGTCTACACTCCGCCAGACCGAGGCTGCCCTCTCCGGGGGTGGCTTGAAGATTCCTCTCGGACCCCCACTTCCCTCGCCCTCTGCCGGGCCGCCTCTTATCCTGGCCCCCTCGGACCTGGGCTTCGGCGCCAGGCGGTGGCGTCGCCTGGCCGGGGCGCGGCGGGTGCTGAGGGGGCAGTGGGGAGAGGGGCGCTCCGCCCGCCGCGCCCGGGTCGTCGGCCATTTCGCAGGCGGGGCCGAGGCTCGGCCTTCCCTAGGCCGCGGGAGTTGAGGGCTGAAGCTCGGGCCGCCCCCGCCGCCGGGCGGGAACTCACCTTCTCTGAGGCAGGGGCGGGCGTCTACAACTACTGTCCCCCTCCCCGCCAACAACGCCGGCCGGGGGTCAGAGGCTGCGGTGGAGGTGGCGGAGAGGCAGGAACGCCGCTGCCGCCGCCGCCGCCTCCGCCGCAGAGCAGGCGCGGTGGGGGAGGAGGCGGAGACCTAACTTCCTGAGGGGAAGTCGCCGCCACCACCCGCGGCTGACTGGACGACGCCAGCGCCATGGCGGCGTGGCGCGCAGGCGCGCGTGCGCAGCACGGCGGCCTCGCGTGCCCGCCGCTTCCTAGCCCCGCCCTCCATCTTTGCTCCGCCCCTTCCCGCCATTTCGGACTCTAACCGGCCCGGTTCCTAAAAGTAGTTATCTTGGTGGGTGTCCTTCCTTCTTGCCATTGGAGGAAAGAAACCTGGTGACGCAGCTCACCCAGAGGGCCAAAGTGAGTCTGGAAGTGTGTGGATCCGCAGGCAAAGTATCTAAACAACGCACACCCGGCTTTTCTCTTGTTATTAAGTCAAGCACAGCCCCTGCTCAGGATACATTGCCAGCATAGTCCCTAAATCCCTTCTTTCCCTCTCAGGTTATGCACACACCGTATAATCATCTGGTTATGCCCAGTCTCCCTGCCCCTAGATGACTACATTTGTTCGCACTTACTTTACTAAAACACACACACACACACACACACACACACACACACACACACACACACACACACACGCTCCTATCACATGGATACAACATCTCACGCAAGCACTGCTAAAGTATATTTAGTTTTCTTTACATTGGTCCTGGGGCTTGGTAGCAATCTTTACACAAAGAACCTTGTGTAATTGGGTCTCACTTTAGCCCAGGCTGGTCCCAAACCAGTGACTGAAGGGTTAATCACCTAAAAGCCTCCAGTGGACCCAGAAGCTCAGAGTTGACTACAGCTTCTGATAAGGCTACCCACAGATCCTTCTTCCTGACCGCCGAGGAGCTGGCCTGCAGATGGAATCTTCCATTCTCAAAGCTCCCCACTTTCAGAGCCAGAAAACCCGAGGACCCCAGCACCATATTGCCTCACATGCACAGGGTCTCACTTCCCTGAGAGCCTGCAGCCCTTCAGATTAAAGACCAGTTCTGTTTCTGGAGAGGCCTGTCTTCATTTCCACTTGCTCCCATCAATCCTTATCTAACAATAACAACCCTGTTGGAATCACAAGCGTGAGCCAGAGCTCCCCTGGGTTTGTTGCTGTTGTGGTTGTTTTTGTTTGTTTTTTTTAGGATTGAAGACCGGGCATGGAAAACAGGGCCCTTCTGCCTCAGACTACCAAGTGTTAGAATTATAAGCCCCTACCCACTGAGCCATCTCCAAAGGCCCTGATTCCTGTTAATACTACTCTCTTGTGTAACTCAACATGCTGCATTTGTTTCCTTTCCCAGAAATTGCCACTTCCCTACTTCCTAATAAACTCCAGTAGGAGGATCACCTGGCCTACACACAGGTAAGCGATCCATCACTGGATTCACCATTCTTCAATAACACAGGGAGGGGAGAGAACATGAGATTTTTTTGTTTGTGCTGTAATTAGATTATGATGGGCTATTTATGTGAGTGCTTGTTGTACATATAAATTTTTCTGTCTTCCCTCCACCTTTGAAATATTTACTTTCAAAATATTCTTTATTTTGCAAATAAATGGAAGCATGATGTTCTTAAAGATTTGCTTTTAATCATGTGTTTGGGAGGGGATTGTTTGAGTGTGTGGATGTCCAAGGAGGTCAGAGGCACAGCCAGTTAAATATGTTCTGCTGTGGATGTTGGGAACCTGACAGGTACTTTGTAAAAGCGGTGAAGAGCTCTTAACCTCTGAGCCATCTTTCCAGCCCCTCACCTTTATTTTCAATGCCATTCTCCGTTTATATTTAGCACCCCTTTTATTCGGCCTCTGAACTTTCCTTTTGTGTCTCTCGCCTTGCTTATGGAATGAATGAAGGAGACTGTGAGAACCGGGAGGCAACGAACTCCTCCTGGCCTGTTTAATGTTGCCAAGCATTCTGAGCATTCTATTATTAGCCTCAGCAGTGGCAGGCAAATGCTTTCTGCAAAAGGTCAGCAATAAGCACTTCTGGCTCTGCCGGTCATGTGTTTTCCATGGGATAGGGTCTGACATTGTAATATGTATACAACTATAGAAGACAGGTAAGCATGTAAACGTGTTTGTTTTCTGGTACGGTTATATTTACAACAACTGAAATTTGAATTTTGTCTAGTTTTTTTTTTTTGCCACAAAATTCATTTGATTCCCCACCCCACCCATTGAAGACAGTAAAACTATTTTTAGTTCACAGCTGTAAAGGGCCTGGAAGTCTTTTGTCCTGAAAGAACTTTGACATCAAGTAGAAAGGAATTTGAAGGGCTGTCATTTTCACTAAAGAGTTGAACAATGTACACGCTTGCAGCCCCCTTGATTTGCCACTAGATGGTAATCTTTGCGAGCATGTATCTCAGCCAGTGAGTCTTCGGCAGAGGGGACATGATAGCTTTTCCAGGGTGAGGTAGCATTCCTGAATTTGTACAGGTACACCAAAAACTTATCACAAACCGTATTGGCCCCTTTTTCCCCTTCTGGCTTTCCTAGCTATCCATGCATATTCTCTAAATTGTAACATATACAACCTAGGGAACACAATCAGGACTTCTGTGATCAGTTTAAAGGGTTAGGACAACAAAGCATATACATAGGGTCACAGCTAAAGCTTTCAGCGCTACAACAGGCATCTGGAAACAGATCCTACTCAAAATCTCAGCTCAGCAGGACAAACTCCTTCTTACATTAAGTGGCTACTTTAGCAACTTGGGAGGTTAATGTTGGACAATCACAAGTTTATGTAGTCAGCTTGAAATATATATATATATATATATATATATATATATATGTATATATATATATATGCACTGTTACAAAATGGCGGCAGCATTAGCAGCATAAGTAGCAGCAGGTATCTGAAGTCATGCCTAGCTCTTTTAATGATCCACCAGTCTCTCCAAACACAGCCAGCTCCTTGTATATGGCATCTTCACACTACCTTTGTTTACTTTTAAGGATATAGTCCAAGCTGACACCTCTCCACCACCAGCCTGGGAGCTAGTGCCAATGCCCACTGTTTCACTGATGCTAGGCAGCCTTAGACAATGAAGAATCTCTGTTCATCTCCAAAACACAGAGGGATATTTCAGGTAGGTGAAAAAGCTATCTAGGGTCACCTAAGTCTAGAACTTTGCTCTTTAATATATATTTTTACTAGAGTCGCTCATGATGACACACACCTTTAATCCCAGCACTTGGGAGGCCAGTCTGGTCTACAAAGTAAGTTCAAGGACAGCCAGAGCTACACCGAGAAACCCTGTCTTGAAAGACAAACAACAAAAGAACAAACAAATAAACAATATTCATTTTTACTAATTTAATATTACATTTGTGTATCTGCATGTAGATATGTGCACATGTGTCCAGGAGCCTCTGAAGCCAGAGGCATAGGATCTCCCAGGAACTAGAATGAGAGTTAGTTGTGAACCTCCAAATATAGGCGCTGGGAACCTAGTTAGGATCCTCTGCAAGAGCAGTATAGCATTCTCAATCCCTGAGCCATCTCTCTCCAGCCTCTAGAACTCTGTATGTTTTCATGGAGAAGGCTTTAATATATACCGGAATTTTTAAATAAATGTCTTTTTGTTGATGAAAGGAACATTATATTTCTTTTGTTTAGCACTCCACAAAGATGATCTCTGTATCATAAAGTCACGTTGTAGGCATCAATTCCCATGAAAGATTTGTGTACCCAGGATCAACCTACATTTTGAGTTTTTACTAACAAAATACATTTGAAAGTGCAAAGATCTGGTCACTTTCTGCCTTCTAATGTAATTCTTCTTCCCAAACATCTGTAAATGAGCCCATTTACATACATTCATCTGCAACACATTTATTAGCTTATTGTAAGTTAATTTTCATTGTCTTCTCTATTGGTGTAAACTAATAGTTTGTTTTTAATGTGAGCTAGTAAATAACATTCTTCCTGAAATTCATTTCAGATTTGTTTGTTAGTTTTGTTTTGAGACAGGAACTCACTGTGTAGTCCTGTCTGACCTAAAATTCTCTATGAGAAATGGTTAATTATGTTTACTATAGTAAGAGACACATGTTAGATTCCTGTTGATGAAGTAACAAATTATTACAAACTTAGTGATTTAGAATAATGTAAGTTTATTATCATCTTACTGTTCTGGTGAGCAGAGGTGGAAATGGGGTTCCCTTGTCAATAGGGCTGAGTTCCTTCTAGAAGCTCTGGAGTGGGAATCTCTTTCTTTCCCTATTCTAGTTTCCACACATCTCCTGGATTTCTTGGCTCATGACCCACCCACCCCATCCCTGAAATCATCAGAAAAGTACTCTGCAGTGTCCCTCCTCCCTCCATGGTTATTTTCCCTGTCCCTGCCTTCTTCGTATGAGGATCACTATGATTACATTGTTCCTACCAGGATACTCTTCTCCTGTCGGGGGCCCATAAAAATGGCTCTGCTCCATCTTGGCTTAAGGTCAAAGAGTTCAAAACTATGCTTACTCTTCCAAGGTTAAAGTCATAAGACCTAAAGGTCTAAGGCATGGCTACTGAAGGATTTGTTTTGTCTAAGATGTGGATGTCTTACATGGATAACAAGAGATTTGCTCTAGGGTGTGGTTGCTCTTCATCCTCAAGGCCAGATAACAGGACATTTGGTCTAAGGTGTGGTTACTAAATGTTTGGAGAATTAAGGAAGAAAGTCTGTTTGCTCCTTGAATCAAGGTAAAGAAGTCTTTTTGCCTTTTTCCCCTTTTTGGTTGGGGTTTATAAGAATTTTGAGAAATAAAACTTGGGGCATTCAGTACTCACTGGAATGTCCTCCCGACTCTATTCTGTGTGTGTCATTTTCTTAGTAATGTTAATTTGTCTACGTGCCATTTCTCAGTCCACACTCCCCCTCTCAAGTATGAACCAGGCAAGTCAGCTGCATCTGACTGAAGCCCCCCAAATATGGGTTCCTACATCCTTCCTGAAAGATCCTAATTTAGTTACACTTGAAAATTTCCTCCTGGCATGTGTCACAGTCCATTTGCTGAATATCACGGATCAGATTATAAAGAACAGTCTTTTGACTCCTGATACTGGAGGCTGGGGCAGTCCATGATCAGGTGTCTTTATGTGGAGAAGTCCTCTTGTTGGCAGGCCTTTATGCAGAGGTGGACGGGACATTGCGTTGTAGGACAGAGTATTCCTGATCACATCTTTCCTCTTATAAAGCCACAGTACTGTCAGATTAAGTATCCCTGATGGCCTCATTTAACTTTAATTACTTTCCTCAGACCCTTCAAATACTGTAACTGCATTATGTTTACACCCTCTATAAACCTCATGAGTTTATTTAAACGTGAATTTTGGTGGACTCTATAGATATGAACACTTGTAAGGTGACATATATAGTTCTGGGGACAGGGACTTGGACACCTTCTAAGGGCCATCTGTCTTCCTACCACATAGCTGTACTGTGATAAGATGAATAACCACAGATGAAGCTAAAGCTCAGAACCTAATGTCTTTGTCTCTCATCTCAGTCTCAGGTCCAGGTAGATTTGATCATGGTTTAGGCTGAACATGCCCCAGTACAGCATCTAGAGTAGGTTTGAGTTCTTGCCAGACTGAGCACTATCCTCAAAGCAAAGGCTGTGAGTTACAGAGCAGGGTTGATACAGGGCACTTATTGGAACTAACTCATTCATACTTTTCTTTTTCACTCTTTCAGTATCAGTGGTATTTAGCTTTTTGTTTTTTGTTGTCTTTCTTTTTTTTTTTTTTTTTGGTTTTTATGAGACAAGGTTTCTCTGTATTGTTTTGGAGGCTGTTGGTCCAGCCTGGCCTGGAACTCACAGAGATCCGCCTGCCTCTGCCTCCCGAATGCTGGGATTAAAGGCGTGCACCACCACCACCACCACCTGGCTTTTGTTGTCTTTCTTATTCCTCCTCCTCCTCTTCTTATTCTTTTCGAGAGGGTCATACTTTTTAGCACATGACCTCAAACTCACAGTCCACCTTCCCTAGCCCCTACAGTAGCTTGTGTGGTGGTTTGAATGAGGATGGCTCCACAGGCTCATGTTTGAATGCTTGGTTCCCAGTTGGTGGAACTGTTTGGGAAGGATGAGGAGGTGTGGCCTTGGTGGAGGAGGTGTGCCATTCGGGGTCAGCTTTTGAGGTTTCAAAAGCCCACACCAGCTGAGTGGTGGTGGCTCACAGCTTTAGTCCCAGCACTGGGGAAGCAGAGACAGGCAGATCTCTGTGAGTTCAGGTCAGCCTCGTCTACAGAGTGAGTTCCAGGACAGCCAGGACTGTTTCACAGAGAAAGCCTGTCTCAAAAAAAACAAAGCAACACAAAATAAAAAAGCCCACATCAGGCCCAGTCTCTCTCCTTCTGCCGCCATCTTGCAGATAAGATAAAAGCTCTCACCTATTGCTCCAGCACCATGCCTGCCTACCTGCCACAATGCTTCCTGCCATGATGGTCATGGACTAACCGTCTGAAACTGTAAACAAGCCCCCAAACTAAAATCTTTCTTTTTTAGGTTACCTTGGTCATAGTGTCTCTTCCCAAGGATAGAACAGTGACTAGAACAGCTGAGTTGCAGGTGGGTATCACCACACCTGGCCCTGATGTTTACCTTTTCATGCACTAGTTTAAAATGCCTTTGAATTGTTTTGCTTTTCATGATATATCTGAAATCACTGAGATTCTCTAGCTCTCATGTTCCAAGAATCAGGACTGCTATATGAAAAGGGGATTATGTGTTTTCAAGGGTCAAAGGAATTTTGAGACATGCAGTTTGGCTGAGGATACACTGGAGCTTCTTGGCTGAAAATACTTCTGGTACATCCTGATACTGGAGGAGGTTGTGACAGAAAAAAGAAAATAAAGCAAAACAGCCATCACTGAGTGGATGCTTTGTGGCATGCCAAGAGCTGTGCTGTGGACATATCACCTCGTTTAATGCCCCCCCACAACTCATCGAAGCAGAGATTTCCACGCTTGTTTCGTAGGTCCCCTTTTTAGGTGGTAGTAGCAGACTCAGTTCTTGTGAGCTACAACATTTGTAAAGATGTAGGGCAGAGGGTCCTCCAGAAACCAGTGTGTCTTGGTTTGTTTGTGTTGCTGTAACAGAATGTCAGAGACTGTGTAATTTATAATGAGCAAAAAATGTATTGACTCATGATCCTGGAGGCTAATGATAGACCTTCTTGCTGCATCCCAGAATGGCAGAAAGTTCCTTGTGGACAGAGGATGTGGTGGGAGAGCCCAGACTCATCCTTTTCAGCAGGAATCCATTCCCTTGACAATGGGATTAATTCATTTGTGAGAGCAGAGTTCTAATGAACTAATCATTCTTGAAGGTGCTGCCTCTCCACACTGATTATGGTTAGGTCTCAAACTCAGGGTGAGTCTCACTCAGAACCTGTGGCTCCTCCCAGTACTCCTCACCCTGTTCCCTCCCAGGGCTGGCCTCTCTTGCTCTCTCTTCCCTTTTCTCCTTTCATGATCTGGTTAAATATGCCAGCCATGTTCAGCCTGGACTCTTCTTTTTGCCTGCTTCCTTCCTTATATCTACAATAAAAATCTTCTCCATACTTTAGGAGTAGTCATAGCCTCCTTCCTTCCTTCCTTCCTTCCTTCCTTCCTTCCTTCCTTCCTTCCTTCTTTCCTTCCTTCTTCTCTACTTCCTTTCCTCCTCCCTTCCTCCCTCCCTCTCTTCTTTCTTATTCAGTTACGTTTTCCAACACTTAAACTTTGAGGGTCAGACTCAAACCATAGCAATCTAGAGTCTAAGCATACCCAGAAGCTAGGCCACAGCGCAGAATCCACAGGGGCCTTTCCCTCAACCTCGCTCAATGAGATCGGCCTGCTGGTGAGGGAGTGGTGGTGTTAAGTTCACAGGGATTTTAGAATTATCCCTATGGTGTCCTTCCTCCTGGGTGAGAGGGAGGGCAGAGCACACTGATACTTTCCTGGCATCAGACGATGGCTTGAGGGGAGTTGGTAGAAAGACGGGGGTGGGTGATGTCAGTTTCAAAGCCTGCCCCTCTGTATCCTGCTCTCTGCACCATCAGCGACGCTCTAAGCACAGGGCACCTCTGACCCCCATGCCATGGGGTGCACTGCTGGGAGAGATCCAGGGAGAGCTCTGGTATGTGTATGCCAGAGCCCGTTTTAGTTTCTGCTGTTTATTTCTTGCCATGGGGAAAGACTGGGTGGGGACAGGGCAAGGGGCCCATCTCACTTGAGAAAGCCTGCCTCTGACAGCTGAAGGGCCGCAGAGCAGCCAACATCACCTTGCCTCCTCTCCCTGTCTCCTCCAGTTGTCTGCTTTTGATTGACAGAGGCATCTGGAGGCTAAAAATATCCTACTGACCAAGTGCTCTTGATTTCAACTCAAGATGAACGTGACTGCAGTCCAGAACATACCACATGCAGGGATTATCTTCAAACCGGTTTTCATGTCAGGACTACACTAGCCTGTGCTCATTTTCTGTCTTGGCATCTTTTCCAAGTGGTGAATGAGACCCTTGTCAGGTCACTGTTCCTTTTCCCTCTCGAAACATGAAGGGGGAGGTGAGGGCCTAGTTCTGGAGAGGAGCAGGGAAGGGGAGGTGGCCTGTCCATTTATAGTCCTGCTCTCTGGGACACGAAGGTGCTAAATAGCAGCAAGGACAAGAGGCTTGGCTCAGTGTGAGCTACCCACGCCACAGGCCTGACAGACTCTGAGATGACAGTAGGCAGCATGGAGAATGTGGAGGTCTTCACTTCAGAGGGCAAAGGCAGAGGCCTGAAGGCCACGAAGGAATTCTGGGCTGCGGATGTCGTCTTTGCTGAGCGGGCTTATTCTGCAGTGGTTTTCGACAGGTATGGCATGCAGGGGGTGCCAATCTCTCAAATTCTGAATCCCAAAATTATCAGGGAAAGGAATAAAGCTCAAGAGGTCCTTAATTTGTAATTTAAATTTTTATTACATTTATTTATGTGTGTGTGTAGAGCACACACACCACAGTGTGGAACATATACTTGTCACGGTGCATATGGGAAGGCCAGAGGATAATTTTCAGTGTTGGTTCTCTCCGACCATGTAGGCTCCAGGGACTGAACTCAGATAGTCAGTCTTATTGGCAAGCATCTCTACCAACGAGCCATCTTGCTGGCCATTCAAATTGCACTTCTGAAAGCTCTCTGTTGGCATTTCTTTTCTGCAAAGCTGAGCACATTATCCTAATCACAGAGAACGTGGCTGGGAGGCTGTGCTGGGGGTGGGTGGGTGGATGTGGTGCAGTGAGAAACATTTTCTTACAAAAATCTCTTTCAGATTTTTGGATATACAAAAGAGGCTAAAAGTCTGTATAAACCCGTTAGACTATAAAACCTTTGTTGAAACTTTAAGAAATCAGTCTGTTTGTAAGTAATATAAAGATACATTTACTTACAAATATTAGAGTCTTGCCCAATGTCTACCTCAGGGGTAACTTGTGTTTTACTTTAAATCAACTTTTTCCAGAACATTCTTGAGTTATCTCATACACTGATTTGTACTGAGCAAGCTGGATAGCCACAGTTTGTTTGCTTGCTTGCTTTTGTAGAAATGACATCCTTCAGGGTCAGATGAGCTTGCTTTTTGCTTTAAACAGTGTTTCTGAATCTATCCTTCTGAGGAAAACAGTTTACAGATACCTCATTTGTTATTATTACTTTAAAAACTGTGTGTGTGTGTTCTTGCATGTAAATGTGCATGTGCCATTATATACATGTGGAGGTTAGGGAACAATTTCTGAAGTCAATTCTCTCCCTCCCCTATATAGGTTCCAGGGACTGAACTCAGGTCTTCAGATTTGGCAGTGGGCACTTTTGCCTACTGAGTCATCTCACCGGTCTTGATACATCTTATAAATCCCCAAACATCCAGTTACTTTAACTATGTGTTAAACTTTCCATATTGATCCATAAACTACATGGGATATCATGTAGTAATATTACTGTAAATATTCACCCTGTAAATATATGTGTAACATTATACTTGTCTATTTTCCAATCAAGAGACATTTGATGGGTTCCTATTTATCATAAAATCAAACATTCCTGCAATTAAAATGTGTTCCAGTGTCCACAGGCACACAGTGTGATTCTTCTCTAGGCAATTGGTGTGCACAGGAACACAGTGTGATTCCTCTCTAGGGCATGTCACTAGAAGGGACTTGCTGTTTTCAGCTTTAAAAGGATCTGTTAAAGTTGTATTCCCATTTCCCTACAATCTTGCCTATATGGAACTATCAAAATTTTAAAATAGTACTTAATCTTTATTTTAAAACAAGCAAACAACCCCCTTACATAGTGATTACATTAGAATGACAGTATTTTCTGATAACAGAGTGACATGTCTGGTGTTTGTGTGGCTTGAATGAAGACAGTGTCTGATAAGCTGGGCAGGCGAGCAGCTACAGCATCAGCTGTCCTGGGGTGGGTGCTTCAGAGATAACTTGGTTAGCATTTGAATTCTCTTTCCTCTGACTGTACCTTCCAAGACCTTCAGGAAAATGCTGTGAACAAGGGCATGTGGCTCATTGTCATTCAGGGAGTAATCAGAAGCCCAAGTGACATGAATAGCAATTCAGAGAAGTGTGTGCATGTGCATGCTGAGGAAAGGTATGAAGTCAGCTAGATTTAGAGTTAAAATATAAAAATACAGCAACACACAGATGGCACCTGCTGTTCTTGGTTTGGTCACTACCATCGTGAACCTCAAAGTCCCCAGAGCCAATCTAGCCAGATTCTGTCTCAAGACTTTGGAGTTGAGTGGGGTTTTCCAGTATTTTTTTTTCTTTTTTCCTTTTCTAGAACAGGATCTCACTATGTAGTCCCAGCTGGCCTGGAGCTCATGGAGCTTGCTTCAGCAACACTGCCCCTCCCTACCTAATTCTGGATTGAAGATGTGCACCACCACACCCGGTTCTTGTAGAGTGTAGTCTTCCTTGCCATCTGCCTGGGCCCTGCCACAGTTGTCTGAACCCCCAAATAACACAAGACACTGTATTAATTATGAAACTGTTGGCCGTTTGCTTGGTTTCTTACTGGCTATCTCTGACTTAAGTATTTAACCCATAATTGTTAATCTATGTATTTCTCTTACCGGAGAAAAGGGTCCAGACCTCTTACTTCTCTGGCCACCTACATGGTGTCTGACTCTGCCTCTCCTTCCCAGAATCCTCCTTGACTCCTAGCCCCACCTATCTTGCTTCCCTATTAGCCAACAGTGCTTTTTTCAACAGCCAATGAGAGAGACAGATTTACAGAATGACATCTCCCATCAGGTTCTCAGTAGAGAGTTTTTATTAACTTGCCAGGCTCCTCCCTCTGGCTTTATTTCATTCATTTTACTATGCAGTGGAGCTTTTACTAGAGGATTTTTTTTTCTCCGTTTAATAACTTGAACCTCTTCCATGTTTATCTTTGGGTCTGTGTGCACGTCACGTATGAGTGTGGGCAGGTCATGCCACGCTGGCGTGTGTGGGTGAGTAGACAGTATGAGGTGTTGGTCCTCACCTTCCACCTTGTTTGAGGCAGGGTTTTTTGGTTGTTTTATTTATTTATTTATTTATTTATTTATTTATTTATTTTTGAGACAGGGTTTCTCCGTGTAACCCTGGCTGTCCTGGAACTTGCTCTGTAGACCAGACTGGCCTTGAACTCAGAGATCCACCTGCCTCTGCCTCCTGAGTACTGGGATTAAAGGTGCACCATGACCACAAGACAGGGCAGGATCTTTTGTTTCCTCTGTATATGGCAGGTTGAGTGGCCTAGTTGCTTTTAGGGATTCTCCAGTCTTCACCTCCTAGGACAGCTGAGATTATAGATGTGTGCCATGACATCTAACTTCATGTGGGATGTGGGATTCGAACTCAGGTCCTCATGCTCTGTGAGCAAGCACTTTGCTTGCAGTGCCGTCTCCCCAGCCCTTATTGTGTTCATTTTCATGGTGATACCTAAACTTGAAGTTTCTTTCTTGTTTGTTTAGTTTTATTAGTTAGTTTTTATTTTTGCGTTTCTGGATATACAAGTTGGAGTGTGGGTGCATTTGTGTGCATGCATTTGTGTGCATGTGGAGGCCAGAAGTTGCTGTTGGGTGTCTTCTTCAATTACTCTCTGTGATATTTTTTTTAATGTGCATTGGTGTTTTGCTGCATGTATGTATGTGTGAGGGTATAAGACCCTGGAGTTACAGATAATTGTGAGCTGCCATGTGGGTGCTGGGAATTGAACCGGGTTCCCTGGAAAAGCAGTCAATGCTCTTAACCACTAAGTCATCTCCCCAGCCCCTCTGTATGATATTTTTGAGACAGGATTTCTCACTGAGCACATAGCTCACCAACTCAAGTACTGGTGATCTTCCTGTCTCTGCCTCCCTGATGCTGGCATTAAAGTTTCTATGGGAGCTTGCTGTGATCATTCATCTGCATAAGCGCTTTGCTGACTGCTCTGTCTCCCCCACCCTGTGTTTCTTCATTTTACTTTAGTTCCTATTGACATTGCTCTTCTTAATTTTTCTTGTCCAGCAAGTTAAGTTAATTCTGTGTCAAGCAGAATGAGAAGATGAATGCTTTTATTCTCAGCAGTGACTTGGGCTTTGGCAAGGAGCTTATTCTGATTATTATTTTCATTTATACTAGAAAGGCACAGTGATGCTGACAATAGGCAGTGCTAGGAACCCCAAAATCTCAATTCTAGCTCCCTTTTTTGAGATAAGGCTTCACTATGTAAAAACCCAATGTTGTCCTCCTGCCTCAGCTTCCTAAGGCTCCATACCTAGCTCAATTGTGTACATGTGCATGCGTGTCTGTGTGCATGCGTGTCTGTGTGCCTGTGTGTGTGTGTGTGTGTGTGTGTGTGTGTGTGTGTGTGTGTGTGTGTGTGTGTGTGTGTGTGTGTGATGTGCATATGAGTGCAGTTGCTAGTTCAGATGAGGGCTTCAGATTTCCAAGGAGTGGAGTTATAGATGGTTGTAAGCCACCTGACATGGATGTTGGTCTGGCCTTTTGGAAGAACAATAAGCGCCCTTAACTGCTAAGCCATCTCCTCCGTGCTCTCAACCCTTCCCCCTCAACAACAGCAGCAAATAACAATGCTAATGTTGCAGATGTCTGTGTTTAGAGTCAATTTAGCCTCTGGGTTCTCCACAGATCCTAAGCTAGGGAAACATCTGTAAGTGGGAGATCCAAGTTTGTGTGAATGTGCATATGTGATTTTTATTTCCAAGGAGAAAGTAGTAGCTTTCGTGGCTTTCAAATGGTCTTCAGTAGAGAAGTAGAGACCCACTGAGTTTATGTATTCCTTTCTGACAGATAGGGAAACTGAGGCCTAAAGGGATATTAACCTTTCCCAGGGCACGGTCACAGGGCAAGCTTGAGTGCCTCCATTGTGTCTTATCCAAGTCATCACTACTTACTGCTCAGACAGCTTGCCTAACATGTGCAGAAAAAGGATATCTACTATTAACTTCAGAAAAATCAGAAGTTGATTCTGGAGCCAGAGAACTGTTAGGCCCATAAACCAGGTAAGAAACAGGAATATGGTGGCTGGTGGCAGGACAGTTTAGCAGGTCAAGGACTAGCAATGCAAGCCTGAGGAATTGAGTTCAGATTTCTACAACCAGATGTGGTAGTGCATCTGTAATCCCAACTCCTCTGAGATGGGAGGTAGAGGCATGAGTCCTCAGAAGAAGCTCATGGGCCTGAGGTTGTCCTGAGAGAGAGAGAGAGAGAGAGAGAGAGAGAGAGAGAGAGAGAGAGAGAGAGAGAGAGAGAGACTTTAAAAAACAGGAATATACATGCATTTTTAAAGGGGGGAAGTGCTGCAGTAACAAA